GAGAGAGAGAGAGAGAGAGAGAGAGAGAGAGAGAGAGAGAGAGAGAGAGAGAGAGAGAGAGAGGGCTCACCTGATGGGAGAATGCCGTCGGGTGGAGGGGAAGGTCGCGTGGAAGGGTATGGCCAATCGTCCAACAGCTACGATGAGCAAATGACGAATGCCATGTTCCACACCACGACCACAACCTCACCTCCCCCCCCCACCCCTTTTAGTAACGAACGTGTGTGTGTGTGTGTGTGTGTGTGTGTGTGTGTGTGTGTGTGTGTGTGTGTGTGTGTGTGTTGATAGCCGCAAAACAGAAGTCAAAAGAAAAGAAAAAAAAAACAAAAAGACAAAAAACGGATATCGCGGCTGCATCTCTCTCTCTCTCTCTCTCTCTCTCTCACACACACACACACACACACACACACACACACACACACACATGCACTGTGTCTATCTATTCGGATAACCACCAACCACACACGCACACACCCCGTCGACGGCAGCCAATCAAAAACACGGGGAGATCGCACACACACAAAAAAGAAACGATGAAATCCATAGCGACCGCGGGGCCTTGGGGGGGGAAGCACAAGTAGCGGACATGTGGTATGGGATTTGGGGCATAGGGTCGATTTTTCGTAAAAGTATGAATCCACCCGTACAACAGGCCAAGATACATTGCCATCTTGCTGTACGTCGTCTATGTCGTCACATCGACGATGGCCACTCAACGTTGGCGACGGTATACACGATGATCACGGCCAGGCAGGTGGGCACGCCACGATGAAGGTGGAGGCGGTAAACGGACGGCCATGGCCATGCACCATCCGCAGGGAGCACCAGACCCGTAGCGACTGTACGGAAAGCGAAAGCAGCAAAAAAAAAAAAAAAAAAAAAAAAAAAAAAAAAAAAAAAAAAAAAAAAAAACTAACAGTCATGTGTACGGGACCGAACTGCATTACCGCCAATTCGGCCTGAACGCAGGTCCATCTGTCGTCCGTTTAGATGGACCTGCCTTCATACCGAAGTGCCAAGTAGCGGTACCGGTAGCGGTACCCCGTTTTTTTACGAAACGACAGAGGGTCGGCAAAAATCGGCGCGCAGGGCAAATTCCGGCTCGGATTCAATAGCTGGCCGAGGTACTGGTGGTTTAACGTTTTCCGACACACATTACAAGAAGATGAGATATGAGTTCGCCACTCTGCCTTTGTCAATTCTGTCCCAGGTGAGCACCTCTCCCACTCCCTAAGAGACACAGCTCAGCGTATCATCTCAGGCTGTAACTGGCGATTAACACGAGAAATTTGAAAAGGCGGTAACTGTTAATTCAGATAATTCTTACTTTGGATCGCATTTCTGAGGTGGGTGTCTATTGCACCTCTGAGGTAGGTGTCAGTAGCATCACCTACCTCCTGTTGAAGAAGGAGCTCCTTCTCCACCATGCTCTCCTGAATTTCACTCAGCTCGGTCTGCAGCCGTTGCACCGACTCTTTCTCTGCTTCAGCGATCCTTGAGACATACTCGAGCTTAGCCTGGGCCTAAAAAATGACAAAAGAGCCCACAAACCACAAAAAAAAAAGGGGGGCGGGGGGGAAGAAAGAAAGAAAGAAAGAACGACAAAAGCAGCAGATGTGAGGAGTCTGCTTTTGCAATGAACGCCATGTGACTCATGCACAAATAATATAATAAATATATAAAATAATAATAATTAAAAAAGTTAAAAACAGTCTGTAAAAAATACTATTTACTTATCAGAAGATTCAGAACTGTTTTTAATCAATTTATATTTTGTTTCTTTTTCTCTATTGTGATGACCTGACCAAACACGGAATGAGACACACAGCTGATTTCTGAGTTTTGCTCATGGACTGAAGGCCTCGCCAAGTTTCCCGCTTGCCACTGAGTTCTCTAAGTCTGTGTGTGTGCACGCTTGATGGTCTGCATGTCTGTCTGAGTGCTGGTTGGCTTGTGCCTGTAATGGCAATATATCAGAGTTCCTGCACTGATGTTTCCCTCCGAAAGGGAGGAGGTACCGGTTGCTTGGAAGGCGGAGCAGCCCGGAAGTCACCGCCCAAGAGGCAAGCAGGCCACTATATCTCCAGGCCAGGCGAAGAGCCCAGCCTCATTGTCGGTGTGCAAGTTTGGCGACACACTGGTTGGAGCGCTGGCTGGAGCAGTGCTAGCATTCAGCAGCGCTGCTGGGGAAGGAGCAAGGACACGGAGGGGAGAAGAAGGCCAGAGCTAGGGAGGAGCGCCAGAGGTACTTACCTGGCTATGGTGGCTGCCATCTTCATCACCTTGGTGGGCGCTGCAGCAAGAAGACCCCAGTTGGGGAAGAGCTACACCAAGAAGGTTCAAGGCAGAGTCGGGCATCATGATGGCGGCCTGAGCTAGAGCAGCCATAGCTGCTTTGGGTTGTCCTTTGGACATCAGGGCAAGGCCCTAGTAGTCCGACATAGCCTCGGCCTATGAGAGTAAAGAGTGAGAGAGGTGGCCATGGCTATGGTGGACCTCAAGTGATACCTGCAGTAGAAGAGGGATTCAGACATTGATTCTGGTTCAGCCATTCAACATTGTATTATTATTTCTTGTGTGAATCAGAGCGGAGGAGATAAGGAGTAGAGTGATTGGCGAAGAAGAAGAGCTTTCTCATTCGTCTATGCTGGTGTACATCATCTTCTTCTTCTTTCCTTCTTCTTCTTCTTCTTCTTCTCCTAGTAACCCTTTCTCTCTTCTCAAGGTCATTCATTTCTTTTTGCAATTGGACAGAATTGTACTATCTGATGAATGTGTACCTCGAAATTGGCCAGGGATCATAACATTGGTATCAGAGCGGATTCCACTTGCAGCTGGTGAGAGTTGACTTATCCACCCTAACCCTAACTAACCCTAACCTAAGGTCTAAGGGTCTAAGTTAACCACTTAGGGTTAGGGTTAGTCCCAAAAGGTAAGTGGGGCAGCAAAGGTTAGGGAAGCTGCCCCCACCTGGTCAGGTTGTGTTGGATCGACACCGAACCCACCAGGTATCTGACCTAAGGGAGACACTTGGTGACTTGAGGGCCTCCATCAAGTAGGCGATCTTGAGGGAGGTAGCAATTCTGCATCGACGGACTGCAAGTTACCACTTGGTTCTTCAGCATCGGCGGGGGATCCGGCATTGCACTTTGGTGTTGGAAGTGAGACCCTCCTACATGATAGGACACTAGTGTAGAGGTAGCGAATAGAGTTAAGAACTTCAAGACCATATGAGGAAGGAGGGTGAGTTATACTTCATCTCAGAGTCCAGGCCACTCAGGTAAGTGTTGTGCACCTAAGGGTTGCTCATGTATGTGAGCATGGTGTTGTTTGCCCTGTTGGGGTACTTCCACGTCTCTTTCCTTCTCCTCTGAAGTCTTGGTTGCGTGCATTGGTGTGCAAACTTTTTTTTCTTTTTTCTTTTTTTTTTTTGTGCAAACTTCTTACTAACCTGATGGATGTAGAAATGAAGTATCTTGCTCTGAAAAGCCATATCTTTCTACAGTGCTTTGTCTTTTCATCTCTGAATGGATGAAGTCTGTACTACTTTGTAGGTTCTCTCTGGAAGTTGAAATTCTTTTTTCAATACGGTAGAGGTAGAAAATAGGACCTTGATTTATTCTATTTTCTACCTCTACCGTATTGAAAAAATAATTTCAACTTCCAGAGATACAACCGGGCCCTCTGAGGACGAAGAAGGTCCTTCTCATTCCTTGGTATGGCTCAAACGCTATGTAGAAAAAGCAAAGAGAGAAAGGGAACATGAGTTTGACGTGCGGGTAGCTTGTCTAAAACATGCGGAGAGACCTCAGATTAATGGGAGAAAGGATGCAACACTGGGGGGCAGCAGCTCTTCCAACCAATTTGAAATCCTCAAGAAGATCAAAGCAGAGGAATTTTCAGAATATGTTGCAGCCAGATCTGCAGAAAAGAAGAGAGCAAGGGAGCAAGGAATGGAGGACAAAGGCAAAACCATCCCCACAACCAAGGATAGCTTCCAAGACCGTCGTCCCAAGGTTAGAAAAACAGGCAAGAACCAGAGGAAAAGAGACACGAACAACGATCAGACTGAGGACGAGAAAAAATCAGAGCGGGACCTACTGGAAAAAGAGGCAACGATAGTACTGTCCCAAACAGAAAAACTCAAGAGATGGAACAATGAATATGCATCTGAATTCACCACCATCAACCAAATTGCAAACGGAAAAGCCCCACTGGTGCTGGAATCAGCCAAAGCGTCGCGCAGAACGCTGAGGAACATAAGACCGCTTATTGCAGCCAGGTATGTTCCTAATGCGAAAGAATGGCAGGTGGCAACAGATATTGCTTTCAAAGTCCCCCACTTTGTAAAGGGTGAAAATGTAATTAAGATGCTCAACAAGCAGATAACGTTGGAAAATCCGTTGGGCCTCTTCGAGACAGTTGTCATGGAAGAAGAGCTGATTGACAGCAGCACTCAGGAAGACATGGACGGCACCCACAATGGGAAAAGTGAGACAAACAGGAACTTACCCAGGGCCTTTTCCCCCTTGATTGCCAAGATGCCAGAGGCATCCAAGCTCAAATCAGGGATGATTTGGAGACCTTGGCAACAGTCACCGAAGTTCCGTACAACATCCTAGCAGGTACCGGAATGGCCGCAGCCATGGCTCATATTGTCAAAATGGGGCAGCTGGATGGAGACGAGGATCTGGAAGCAAGAGCACTGGCCATGGATTGTGACAGATTCTACAACAGCGATCCCTCAGATTGTTCCTCTTGGGATGGGGACGATGAAACAAAGAAGTTAGGCCGACTCTCTGACCTTGAAAAGACAGGAAGTGAGCCACTTGGATCAGGAGAAAGTGATCCAGAGGTCGTGAGCAAAGCAGGGAGGCCAATGGCTGGGAATGATGCCCCCCCTGTAGAGGCCAACAAACCAGGAACAGTCCAGGACGCATCAAAGGAAGATGGTAGCGAAGGTACCCCTCCACCTCCCCCTACCTAATTAAATATGACCGGACCCCCCCCCTTTTTTTTTGACCGAGCCCGACCGACACTATGGAGCGCTACATAAGAAGAGCAAGCAAGGTTGGGAACCGTATTGACTGGTATTCTCATGGATTGATCCTCAGAAGTTGGAATGTCAATGGTCTTGGGAACATAATGGAAAAAGAAGAAAAATGGAATGACCTTTATTCCGGGCTATCATGGGGTACTAAGAGAACAGTTRATATAATMCTGCTACAGGAAACCCATCTCACTTTCTCTTCAGATCACAACAGAATTCRATCCTTTCTGGCAAAAAAGCTAGGGGGCCTAAAKGACGAAGTCTGGTCGGCAGACCCTACAACAAGCACCAAAGGAACARCYATACTGATTCCCAAATCATCTCGCCTTTATACRGCGGGTAYTGTCATGGACAAAAAAACAGACYAGACAGACRGACRATGGTGTATGTTTTACTTAAAATGGAAGGAAGAAGAATTCGCACTCTTTAACATTTATGCTCCAAATTCACCTACCGAAAGGTCGACATTCTTAAAGCACCTYGGAGACCTGATCCCACCACTGACTCCTTGCATTTTGGCAGGGGACTRGAATGCCACAACCGATCCMGTAATGGACCGTGTATCTCGTTCGTCTAATAGTACAAACTCAACAGAGGCACTCCCAATTCAGGAAATGATGATCGACCACAATCTGGTTGATCCCCAAAGGACCCTCCACCCAAATGAGAGAACCTTCACCTTAGTCAAGAAAAACCACGCCAATCATACGGCCTTCTCTCGAATAGACTATTTTCTAGTGTCCGAAGTTATGATGGGAGCAATCAAGGAAGCGAAAGTCCTGCCGCTAGCACCTTACCCTGGATTGGACCACAAGCCAATTGAACTAATAATTGTCTTTGATCCAAAGGTCAGAAAGGGAGCTAGCTTCCACAAGCTTAACAATTCTCTCCTGCTGAGTCAGACATTCCAAAGAGAAGTGGTTAACTGTTGGGAAGGTATAAGAATGACATACCTAAACACCGAGACTCGATGGGATTGGTTCCAAAAGAGCTACGCGACCCTCTCAGACACAGTGGCCAAACTTTCTAGAAAGCTTGCATCGATAAGGAAACAAAGAAAGCAAGCATTAGAATTCGCGTTGAAAACAGCAGAAGCTAACCTGGCCAACAACTCGGTTTCCCTCCTGTACAGGGACATTTTTGACATAGCACGAGAAGAATTGGCCATGTGGAAATTGTGGGAATTGAAAGGCCTTCAAATAAGAGCAAGAATGTGTGAATTTGAGCTCAGCGATTCAATGACAAAACACTTCTTCGCCCGGATCAAAGCTAACTCAAGAGCTAGCACAATAGAAGGCTTAAGACCAAACGAAGCTCCTGAGACAGTGAGATCAGACAGCGAAGGAATGCTAGAAATAGCAAATAATTTCTACAAGGAACTCTACCATTCCAAGACAGAATCCCCAATACCCTCCAATGTAAAAGAAGCAAGACAAAGAATGTTACAATACTTAGAACAAACAATATCAACAG